ATTGTACAGTATGAATGAGTGAATGAATGAATGAATGAATGATGTGGGTAGAAGAGTAGTCTTCTCCTGTGCCCTTTTCTCTGTTTGTTTTTCTCTCCTTTATTATTAAACTTTAGCTCCTTGAGCCTCAGGATTTTTTCTTTTGCTTATGTCACTCTTTATGCAAAGTCCTATAGTAAGTACATCAATAAGTGGTGAAATAAATAATCAGTGAAAACCTGATGCAGCAGGCCAAGAAGGAAATTCCATTGTCAATGAATCAAAAAATTCCAAAATAATGGCCTCAAAGAAAAGACATAGCATCTGCTCATAACAAACAATACATTCACTCAAAAAAGTGAAAAACCAGTTGTCCTTGCTGTATGATGGTCCTTCCTTACCATTTATTTACAGAAAATTGCACTCAGTTATTTGTTAAACATATTATCAGGGTAGATCTGGGATTATAGGTATTAAATGAGAAAATAGACATTGCTGGTTCATATAATCTGAAAATCTGTTTGTGGTTGTCTCGTAAAGAAAACGAGAATCAGAAATAAAAACTTGCCAGCTTTGTTATTTCTTTACATAGACTTAAAAGTACTTATTCTTTAGTCTAAACTTTTGATTTAATCTCTGGACTGGCTGTAGCAATTTGTGTTTTATTATTACTGTAAACTGCTTTGTGAATTTCCTTATCTGAGAAGCAGTTTTTAAAAACGTGTAATAAGTCTGAAACTAGTTCATTAGGGGTGCATTCATTAGCTAAAAATATACTGACATCAGGGCTGAATCTCTTTCTCTCTCTCTTTCTCTCTGTCTTTCCTCTGACATTGATAAAATGCTAAATCAGTGGAGTGCCAGATATAAACATGAAATATAGGGCATTGTCACAAGATTTTTGCTAGCTGGGCATTTCAGGCACATAATGGTCAAATATATCACTGCCATTTGATTTCTTGTCCTACTAAGGTCATGTAAGTGGAAAAGCTGAAATGAAAGTTGAGGCAGGCGGAGAATAAAATAGGTAAAGGTAAAGGTTCTACTCGCACATATGTGCTAGTTGTTCCCGACTCTAGGGGAATCAGAAGAGCCTGCGCTGTCTGAAGACGTCTCTGTGGTCATGTGGCCGGCATGACTAAACGCCAAAGGCACATGGAACGCTGCTACCTTCACACCAAAGGTGGTCCCTATATTTTTCTACTTGCATGTTTTACGTGCTTTCAAACTGCGAGATTGGCAGAAGCTGGGACAAGTAACGGGAGCTCACCCTGTTACATGGCACTAAGGATTCGAACCGCTGAACTGTCGACCTTTTGATTGACAAGCTCAGCATCTTAGCCACTGAGCCACCGCATCCCTTGTGAATAAAATAAGGAGGAGCAAATATGCACCACTTTTTACCCCTTAACTTTATGTTCATACCCAGGTTGAAGGTGCAGTTTTACATCAGATGCAAACTGATATTTCTCTGCCGTTTTTTTCCACAAGATATGGCAGAGGATGCGATAGGGAATCAACATAGCCACCCTCAAGCCAGTGACTAATTTTCACGTGTCACAATCACAGCCTAGGATGCCTGTAAGGCTACGTACTCTGTTCCCAATCACTGCCCGTTACAAAATTCTGCCTAAGGAAGTTACATATTCCTGTAGAGAAATAAATTGCCTTCTGGCAAAGGCCAGGCATTCCATTTCAATCATTGTCTGTGCTGATTAAACACTTGTGAGCACTTTGGCCCAGCAGGATCACAGCTTGAACAGCGTGGAGAACAAATAGTTGCATCATGACTTGAAGGTTCTGGACTGTCTTCAAGTGCATCCCCATGAAAAGAATAGTGCAGTATTCAAGCTGGAGCTTAAAAGTATTTATCAGCATGGCAAGCTCCTGATGTAGACCGAAAATAGACAAGCTTTCCAGTGAATTGAAATGGCAAAAGACACTTTCCACCAGAAGCTAGGATAGACACAGAATTAGGGCAAGACTTTTAAATTGACTGAAACATATCACTCTAAATAGGCAAATTCCATATAATACCAGTACTCACTCACTCTGTCTGTCTTCTTCTTCCCAGCTAATCATAGCCTCCAAACGTCTAGGATAAAGACAACTGTTCCCAAGTTCTGAGTTAAAATATATATCCCTTAAAGTTATAGACCATCTCAGTCAAGAGCTTCATCTAGCATTGAATAGTACTATAGGATTGATAGTATTAACTATTTACTAGATAACACTATAGTATTGGAGAATGCTAGCACAATAGTAAAATAGTATTGATGATGACCTTTTGACTCCTGTGGAAGCTTACAGCAGAATTTCCAGAAATGAAAAAGGGTTTTTTATTCCTCTTCCTCTGAGTCCATTTTTTTTAAACAGGAAGAAACCCACAGGAGGGTTTTCCCTAAAACACCTGCCAAAATGTAAAAGCGTAACTTAAATAACTTGCCATTGTGTTGAAAGTTAACTTAAGCCCAGTGTTAGCAAAGAAGGGACTATCCTATTGTCTATTTCCAGAAAAAGTTAATCCACTAGAGTTGGTCAATGGGCTGTGCCAAAAATGTTCTTCTGCAATGCACCACTTTTTATTATGAATCTGTATTATCAGCTCCCTGCCTCATGGGGTTTTCTCCCCTCCCCTCTCTCTCCATCACCCATCCCTTGGCTGGATTCTGGTATTTAAAACTCCTTTTTCTGCCCAGTCCAGAAAAGAAGACAATGTTGAGATGGCTCATCACCTCTTAACCCTCAGCTCTCTTGATGCTGCACTTAGAACCTCTTCCCCAGATATATACACAAACTCAGCATCTTTGATTTTCAGGCAAGCCAAAAGAGAGAATTCCTGGCAGAAGACAAAACAAGTGGGGAGCAGTGGGACAGCAAGCAAAGGAAAATTTACCCACCCCCAACTCTCCTTTGTGGATCAGCCTCTCCAAAGATGCTTATTACTGTCATTGGAGTTTTAATGTATCTACTTTGAGTGTCATCTCTATCTTGTTCTAAGAATAAATCAAAACCAGACTGCTATGACTTTTCCATGTTTTTTTTTTTAAAAACCATTGCACTGTTGACAGTTCATCATCGTGGCATGCGAAAAAGCACTGATTTTTTTTTTAAACCCAGTAATTAAATCTCAGGAGATACAAGGCACAAGGTAAACCACAAAAGGAGCGGCTGGACAAACAATGCGATACAGGAATCGTGGCGGCGGGGGGGAATAAAGAGACATTCTGTTCTTGAATGTGCTACATACCATAATTGCATGGAAGCGAGGAAAGGTTTGATCTGGAAATGAGAGAGGGTGGCTACTGGCAGTTCACTACTTCAGCATCACAGCACACAATTCCTAAAGACAAAATATTCCCTTCACGAGAGGGAACAATGGGCTCATTCCATCAGGGATGATCTTACAAGGTTGGCTCTGGGGTGGCTTTAAAACCTGGATCCAAGGCAAAAATCCCTATCTGATCAATCTACCTGTCATGACACACACACACTCTATTTGCCTAGAAATCCTGTTCAGCTACATAAAATTTGAAACGATGGAATGATTTAATAGTCTACTGGAAAATCATTGGCATCCTTCTCTCTTCCTTCTCGCATGCATCTCACTTGTCCTTGATCACCTCCCAAAAAACTTTCCTCTCCCTCCCCCTGCGCTCTCTGTACCTTCAGGGCTACAGTAAACAGAGACCAACCTCATGCCTTTTCCTTGTGATGATGCTCTTGTCTTGGTGGCTTCTCCAGTGGAGGGCATCTGGGGGTGGTGGTGATGTCTCTCCTCCAGAAGAGAGAGGTATCCTCTTCCTCCTCCTGCTTCTCCACTCTGATCAGAGAAGGTTGGCTTTGGCTTGCTGGCAGCTGCCTTTTCCTGATAGTTGGGATTAAACTGGTTCCTTTCCAGATCAATCTAGCAACTTGTCCTGTTCTCGCCCTCCCTGGCTCTCCCCGCCCATACAAGGGGCTGGGATGAAAGAAAAGTTTCTTGAGCTGCAGTGGCAAGCAGCAGCAGCGTCTCAATTCACTAGTTAGTAGATGAAGATAGAAACAATTGGTAAAACCAACAGAAAATACCAAGGATATAATTGCTCTACAATATGTTCTGCTTAAATCTGATGATTTATGAGTTACTAAACTACAGTGCCTAATTTTAAACAGTACATGCATCAATAACTGTGCATCAAACCTGCTTCATCTTTAGCTCCAGTTTATACTGATGTATCATATTTTTTATGAGTTTAGGGGCAACAGTTGGCTGTGAAATAAATCTGTGAAATGATCTTTCTTTCTTAATCAGGAGAGAAAAAGAAGCCAAGAAAATAGAGGGTGATGACTAAATGAATGGGAGGTGCAAGATGTACAATACAAAAATTACAGGAGAATGGGCAAGCATTGATGGGGTGCATTGCTGTCTGTGAATGGATGGAAAGAGAATTTAATCATGTTGTGTTTATGTGGCTAATGCCATGTTCTCTTTTGGCTTTAACTCACACATTATTTATTTATTTGATTCAGTTTCAGGGCCACCCAACACCAAACTGACTCATAAAAGTGTAATTTATTACTCTGGCAGTTAAAGATGCTTCCTGACCCTGCCCTGGAGTTATCTTTTTAAAATATCTCATGGAAGTTGCTTGTTATATACTTCTTCATTACAACCATACCAAAAATAAGAGCGCAAAAAGGAACAAACAGCAGACAGAATGAGGTACATAAGGACATACATCATGTATCCTTCCCAAGCACAACACTCCAAACTCTTGACTTTTAGTCACACTCAAGGTTTTTTTTCCCTCCATTTGATACATAATTGAGTGAAATTCTGGATTTCTTAACTGGATTAATCCTAATCTCCCTCCCTCCCTCCCTCTGGATTTGAATAATTATGGGTTGGATTCTAGCCACGGGTGCATGATTTTTGTTAAGTCAGAATAGCTTTTCAAGGAATTATGGAGGTTGCACCGCAAAAGGGGGCATGACCAGGGGTGAAATATACTTACCTTCCCTACCGGTTCAGAAGTGCACATGCGGCGTGGACCTCTGCGCATGTGCAGAAGGTAAAAATTAGGTTACTTCCTGGTTAAAATCAGGAAGTAACGACCGGGTGGGTGGGCGGAGCCTCGTGCTGCCATCACTACCGGTTCTCCGAACCACCCACCGCCATCACTACTGGTTTGGCTGAACTGGTACGAACAGGTAGCATTTCACCCCTGGGCATGACCACATGACTAGTGCATGAATTGGCAAATTTAATCAATTAAATCATTGTTTATAATTATTTTAAATAATTGTCAATGTGATTCTGTAAATTTATTGTTTGACAGTTAAATTTTGAGCATATCCAGACACATACTTAAGGATCATATATACAGACTGCCAGAGGTGTCAATTGTAAGGTCAAAAAAGTCAAGATGGCAGCCACAACTATAAGAGCAAATTGGATTGGTAAGCAATGGATTATTAAGCAAGGTATTCACATGACTGGACCTGATTTTATCACTCTTTTACCATTATCATTAAACAAAACACCAGAGTCATTAAGCAAATTCAATTTCCCAAATGAACTTTACTTGGAAGCTGACGGGAAGGTCACAAGCCATGATCATGTAAATGCAAGACTCTGCAACGGTCATAAAGGCAGGCTGTTTGACAAGCACCCAAATTGTGATCACATGACCATAAGGTGGTACAATACTCGGACCTTTGAGGATAAGTCTTAAGTAATTTGTTTTGAGGCCATAATAATTTCAAATTGTCGTTAAACAGCAATAAGTCAAGGATTACCTGAAAAGAAGCATGTGAGTGAAAACATACCAACACATACACCAAGGACTTCTATGCATGGGGGCGCCAAATCAAGCCCCAGAGAAGTGGCCTCAGGTTGGGTTTGTGTAGAGGGGGAAGGAAGATAACCTGAAGGGATCAAGGGGACTGTCTCTGACCTCTTGGTAATGGGATGTGCCCCTATACTCGTGATGGCGAACCTGTGGCATGCGTGCCAAAGGTGGTATGTGAGCCATTGCCCTAGTTCAGCTCCTCCATGTGCGCCTCCTGCTGGCCAGCTGGTGTTCAGGTCTCTGCCATGCATGCGTGGGGGGGCAGGGCAAATGTGCGAGGCGGTGTGTGCACATGTGTGGGGGGCATGGGGAGGCACGCATACATGGAGAGTGGGGCACATGCATGGCATGTGTGCATGCACGGGGACGCATTGCATTTTGGGGGCTCGGGTGCATGCTTTGGCACTCGGTCCGGAAAAGATTAGCCATCACTGCCCTATACTATAGATATCAGTCCTGTAGGGTAGACCAGACTAAGAAGCCATTGCCATATAAGTCTGAAACTACTTTTAGTGAAACAGCTATAGTAACTGAATCTTGCAACTCTACAAATGCTCCTGGCTCTCTTTGTGTGTATAGAGGTGTGGCTTGTCTGAGATGCTTTCTCAAATTAGTTCCTTGGAAACGACGCGAGTCCTATTTTTATGTCATCTATAGTATATACTGCCTTTGTTAGATTATGACCAGCTGGGCTTCCTTGCACAAATAAAACCAATCCCAGACTGTTTTCAGGTCTCACACCTATAATGAAACTGAGGAGGTAGAACTTTCAGTCTGGTGAACTGGATGTTTCTGGAATTGGGCAGAAAATATGTTCTACTGCTGGGCAGGAAACAGCTGCCTCAGGTGATGGATATCAGAGAGCTGGGAACCTTGAAATAAAGGCTTTGGGTCAGCCAAGCAGTATCTGTATATGGAAAGTGGGTGGGGCTTGACTTTTCCCTTGTCTCAAGCAGTAAAATTATAATGGACAGCAGCTTTGAGTGCCGTATGCTATAGTGTGATTCAGATGATTTACTGCAAAGCACAGCAAAGATGGGCATATCGGTCTCCCATTTGTTCATATTCAGTTGAATCAGGTGGCTGAGAGAAGATGTGACTTCTCATGGATCCTCAATTTTTCTCTCTCCAGTTATTGACAGAAACGAACCTGGCAACTGGACAATTGGACAACGAAAGCCACAAATTGTTGTAGACAAAGAAAAAGCAGTGGAATACCTTCATTTATGGATATATATCCTCCCTATGGTAATAAAAAAAAAAAATGATATGGGGAAAAAACAGCCTTGGATATACTGATTTTTAAAATGTCTGCCTTGCCCCAAAGAAGACTCTCTGACTGTTCATGTTCCTTTTCATTTTAATAATCGTAAGTTGCAGCATGACTGCTGCTGAATTTTTTTTCTTTCAGCAGAGACCAAAGTCAAAAGTCAAAAAGTTGCTTTCCCATAGCTGTTCAATACAAGCTGTGATTACATCACATGCATTGCATCACCATGCAATTTAGATAAATCACATCTTCAGTATGACATCATTATGACTTCATGAGGCCTGAGACACCGCTTAATCCCATATTGCTCTCTCTGAATCTTCTGGTGACACGAACAACTTGCATAGCACTGACAAAAAAACCCAAAGACCATGTTTCCATGAGAACTATATTCCAATTATATGTAACCAAATTCCCTATTTTTTTAAATAAATACTATTAACAAATACTAAGAGCCCACTGTTAGTTCATATTGTTCTTCACAGTTGTGGATTCACTATGGTGGATTCTTATTTATTTCACTTTTTTGGGGAGAATGGGTTACTCAGATTGCTTTGCTCTAACTTTCCTTGCAGGTCAGTTCTACTGGGCTTTTCTTCCTATTTTTCACCAAAACAGGAATTTGTGCAATAAATTTTATTGATCATCTATTTTATTCACAGTATTGATGTATTATTTGCCATTTTAAAACGGCAGTGGAGCAGAATGAAACAATAAATGAAGTGTGTCTGGAGGTCTCAGGATTTTTGTGTGTGTGTGTGGTCCTGGACTTTCTTTAAAAATCACTTCTTGTGTTTTAAATGCAAATTTATCACCTGGGTGAACAGGGCAGCCTAGAGAAACTCAGACCTCCTTGGCAGAATAAACTGCCCCCCCACCCAAGTCCAATTGAGTCCTTGCGAAATTACCAAACAATGAAATGTTCAGATTTATTCCCATCAATCAGCCTGGGCAGGACAAACAGACCTGACCACAACTGATAGCAGTGGTAGAATTTCTGTACCTCTAACAGCTCCATGCCAGACAGGTGAGATTTTCCCTGGCTATTTTATTCCTTGCTAGGTCAGTAAACAAATGATGGTGATCTTAACTGTTGACCGTTTTGTCCTATATCTTGCTTGACAGTCTTGCCTGGTATGATTGCAATCTCCTGGCCCTTTTCTGCCACCTGTAAAAGGGAGGATGGGAAGAAATACACTTTCTGCTCCAGGGTATAACTACAAGCTGCAGTAAAGAACACAATGTTCCTAGAAAGGGGGGCGGGGGTGAGGGCAGAGGCAGGGGTGGGGGACTAGCAGGTAAACAATGCTATTGCTTCAGAGTAAGTGAGGAAGGGAGGGAGGGAGGGAGGGGTGAGGGAAGGAAGGAAGGAAGGAAGGAAGTAAAGAAGGGAAAGAGGAAGGAGAAAAGGAGGGAAGGAAGGAAAGATTGAAGGAAGAGAGAGAGAGAGGGAAGGAAGAGAAGGAGGGAGGGAGGGAGGAAGACCATTGGAGGCAAATCCTTACAGAAGGGAAAACTTCAGGCAATTGCCTATTTTTTTTTTTACTGTCCATGCTCAGGAGTTACACACTTTGCAGTGCCTGTGTCCCCCTTCAGAGTTAGAATGCAGAGGACAGTCTTTTCTTGAAGCAAGGGAGAGGGCTTCATCGTTCAATATCACCCATAAACAGTGAGCTGTTGGAGACCTACACGAGAAGGCGGATATTACAGCTAATTATATGCTTCTCACTATAGTGAAATTGATTGTATTTCTATTTATATTGCATTTCTCAATGTTCACTGAGGGCAGCAATACATCAGCACATGCAGATCATGTACAGATTCAATCTTTCTTTGGCCCTCTTTTTGAAAGTATGCTTCCTCCTTGAGGGGATCACTGAGGATATACAGGATCTGGCTGGCTTTGCCTGGGCTGGAAAGCTAAATAAGACCAGGCATGATTGGAGAGATGAGAAAACTGGGAAGTTAAACAACCACCCCAGAATGCGGCAATGGCAAACCATTGTTGTCCAAAGCAGCCAGAAAAGTACATGGATGTATCCATGCAATCCTCAGGAATCAAACCCAAGGACAGTTTTTGTTCCATTTTTTGCCCTTTGGATTTGGTAGGAAGTCTAAACTGTCCATGTTGTCACAACATTGTGATATTGACTGCTTCAACCGTTCGTGAACCATGCCCCTTCTCTGAGAATGAATCTGAGCAGCTGCTCCTACTTTTTTGACCAGCAGCCTCTAATGTGTCAGAAAGAGGGTTGACTCTTGCACAAAGATGACAGGGAGGATTTTTTCTTACTGATGCAGTTTCATTGGTCTCCTGCTTCCAAGTGTTTGTGGGAAAACAGGGCTTTGAGAATGACTTATGAATTTTCCTCCCTTTCCCAAATATCTATTCATTCAGCCGTTTCTGTGTCCAGCTGTCCAAGAATTCAGAAACATGTAAAATGTTAAGAAAATGAACCTGGAGCTCTTGGACAAGCCCTGCCAATGTGCAGGCGATTGGAGAGAATATGCTACAAAAGGTTCAAAAACAAGGAGTAAGCATATACAAGTTCTGCTAACACAGAAAGATTGTGGAAATTCCATGGCCTGGAACGGTGTAGGTCTCTCTGAACGATCACATAACTGGGGCACAACAATACTGAATTGACATCAAGCGATGAGGTCATGTAGGAATGCTCCAAAATGTGTATTGGTGAGATCCCAGTGCTATGGCAAACCCAGGAAAGGAGTATAATTGTAATGATGCCATTTGCTTATGACAATTTCTACCTATGTTTCCTTCAAGGAACTCAGAGGAACACGCACAAGCTTAAATCACAATGTATCTATGAGTGATAGCTATGCTTCATTAGCCCCAATTGCTTGGATTTATAAGTGTTAACGGTATGTACAAAGTTATAGCATGCACCCAAGTCCCATTTCTAATGTTTCTGTACAGCAGGGTTTCCCAATCTTGGCAACTTTAAGATGCCTGGACTTCAACTCCCAGAATTCTGGAGATTGAAGTCCGCTCATCTTAAAGTTGCCAAGGTTGGAAAACCCTGCTGTAGAGGTGCACTTGACTTCTAGCTTTGATTCTAGGCAAATGTCCAGCATTTTTGTTAAGTTCACCTGCATGACTGGAAACTCTTGTAAGACAATACTCTCCAGGGTGAAAAGAGGCTTTGATTTCACTTGCCAACTCTATTCAGACTTCAGTGCTGATCAGCTGCAGAAATATTGGGGATAGTCTCATGCCTTCTTCAGCCCATTTTTTGCCACCAGTGCATATATGAAACTCACTGCTAATCTAGGATCTAAAGGCGGTTTGCCACTGCTTTTGTTCAATAGCCCAATATCCCAATCACTTTAACATTGCAGCTCATTGTTTACATTGACTGTGGTTTAGACTTGCTATATTTGCTGTCCTGGGAGAGCTCTTTCCCACTGTATGTCATCATTGCATTCCTCTGTATACTGTTTAATTGCATTTGGACAGTTGCAACATTTCCTTTCAGAGTTACCCAAAAAGAAAGAAGGAAGGAAGGAAGGAAGACTAAAAGCATAAATAAAAATGGTTTTGCTGGTCTATGAAATTGGAATGATCCCCTCCCCATATAGTGAAAACTACTGAGGATTGATCTTGCTGCTGCTTATTTGTTCATTCAGATTTCATTGCCTCAGATGAGGTGGGTTCTCTTGTTCTACAAGTTATGCTGTAATAAATGTGTCCTAAGACTTCTTAATTTTGCTGCAATACTTTAGAGCAGTCCCTCTAAAACTGGCTGATTGCCTGTGGTTAAATTGATTCTTAATTTGTGCAATACTGCACAAAGTATTGCACTTAACTGGAAAATGATATAAAAAGACAGCAAATAACCACTAAGATTAGATGCACACTGGAAATCAGGTGCCTTCCTTTATTATAAATTTCAGAGCTGCTAGGTAAAGATATCCAGATAAACTACTGCCACTCCTTCCATATCAGTGGAAACGTGAAGCACACTTCTCACTGACAGTCCATCCCAGAGGAGACCAAACCCTTGTGGATGATTTGTGTTGTATTCTACAATACAAATTACCAGTATCTGTTTATAGATGCCACAGTTTTATCTGAGCCAGAGATGTATTGAGCTACTGCAATGTCTGGTCTTGTTATTGGCTGTGTTTTCCAATCCGAGAATGTGAGCAGACTGTCTGGAGGCCTACCCTTTATCCATAAAGTTTTGTGTAATATTCCTGGATTAAGCTAAGAGTACTATTATCAGAAATGGTGGACTGCTCATTATGTTAGAGTTGTCCCAATATGCACACAAATTGAAAGTATTTCTGAAAAAGCCAGATAGAAATGCTATGTTTTTGAAAAATCATAATCCAGTCACCAGTATACTAATTTAAACAAGAACCTGGAATAATGGAATAATTGACTCTAATGAATTACTTTTTAAGAACCACTCCAACCCAGTTTATGAGCTGGATTTTTAAATAAACTATTTTGGTTGTTTTGGTGGATAAGTTAAAGTGGGAAATTAATGGGAAGAGAACACCCCTGTTCATGGTCCTGGATCTCTGAATGTTTGATACTATTAACAAAACATTCTCCAAGTGGTAATGTAATTTCAGTCATATCTAGAGTGGTGGATTTGAAAGTAATAATGACCAAATTATATTCTGGTCCATAGACAATGAACCAAAGCCTATCTTATGTGAATCTTTTTAATATCGATATGTGAATCTTTTTAATATCTATATGTGCATTATGTTATCCGTTTGTGCATACACACAGCCATGTCCATTGTTTTATTATCTTCATCACTTGGAAAATAAAATTAAGTATTCTGAGAAGTACTGTGACCTGGAGATATGGAACCGATTCTATGTGGGATTGAATTGCCCCTATAGAGCCATGTCCACAATTTTCCTGGCCTTGTTGTTCATTATCCTTCTATAGTTTTGTCAGGAAGCACCCAATCAGGCTGTTGGAATATAATCAGAAGACATGATGAAAACTCTTTAATTCCATAACACACATAGACAGACTTGACCATAGTTTTGACTGGGAAACTGTGAACATCCTAGACCAAGCTAAATCCAAACATTTTAGAGAATTGCCGGAAGCTTGGCACTCAGACAAATCAGCCATCAACAGGCACACAGAGAAAAACGTTTATACACTGTACCAAAGAGACAATAAAAAAGCTAAAAAGGAAACAAAAAGACAGAAATACCTCCAAGATAGCAATCAATACCCAGATAATCAGGGATTAGTATAGGGATAACACCAAACAATAAATCAGTAAACAACAACCTAATAAATGAACTAAGGAGAAACAAACACTCTCATCAACCCTGACAGGGCAAGCCACTTGTATATAAACAGAGAGCAAACCAGTAGTGAAATTCAGCCAGTTCTATCCGGCTCAGACAAACCGGTAGCACCGGGAGCAGGAGGCTCCGCCCACCTGCCCAGATGTCATCACGCCCCGTTTTTGACTCTCTGCACATGCACAGAAGGCTCTGCGCATGCGTGGAGGAGGCGCACGCACTCACATTTGTGAACCAGTAGCGAAGGTAAGTAAATTTCACCCCTGGAAAAAACCCCACTTCTTTCTAGCACTGTAAATGTTACATAATTGGGAAATGAAACTTCAGCAAGCAAGTGATCTAGCTCAGAGAGTACCAGGGACTCCAGTTTTTTCAGTCAGCCATTGGGCCTTCTAGTTGGATTGCAGAGTTCAAATATTGCTTTCTTTG